TTACTGTCACCTGTGTGACTACAGTATATCACTGTTTGGTTACTGTCTCTACTCCTAAGTTATAAAGACCACAGAGTGGAGGGGCAGTATGCTTTGCTCGGGATTGACACTCTAGTGCCTATCAGGGCTCCCGGCATGCACACTACTGTAACTGGAGGTTTCTTTCCTGCCCATCAGTTCCTGGATATCCTCTCTGAGGCTTAATATTAATTATAAACTGTTTGGCAAATGGATCAGGCTTATTACTAATTAGCTTTTACATCTGAAATTAACACATTTATGTTAATGTATATTAATGTATGTATTCCTACGTGGCTGTGGCATTATCTTACATCTTGCTTTTCTGGTGACTGCTAATGTCTCCCTGACTCCTCTTTGTTCCTGTATCTCTGGAGTTCTTGCCTGACTGTATTCTGCTTGGCTCTTCACCAAATCAGCTTCTTTATTAACCAATGTTAATAAAACATATTCACAACATATAAACAGACATCCTGCATCACACTGCCTTTCAGTTTCATTAGTGAGATAATGGATTGTGGATAAAAGCAGTGTGGTGGCTTCTATAAGTTTACCCACAGAAGGAGGTGATTCTGAGGGTAGACAAGGAAGAGATGCACATTGGGTACCTGGTGTAGTACCCTAGGTGTGGTATCACTGTTACTGTTTCCTCCCTTCCCCTCTAAGCTGTACATTTTATATTCCCATATGGCAGTAACCATGACATAGCCTGGATGTTCTTCTAATTTGAAATCACCAAATAACTTAGCTAGTTAGTTTTGATTTCAGCCATACTCAAATTTTAACACCTAGTCAGAAATCAGCCAGATTCTGTAATGTGAGTGGCCTGTAGTCCTATTGCCTGTAGGCAGTGATTCTCAACCTGTGAGCTGTGGCCCCTTTGAGGACTGAATAACCCTTTCACAGAGGTTGCATATCTGATATTCTGCATATCAGATATTTTTATATTATGATTCATAACAGTAGCAAGATTACAGTTATGAAGTAGCAACAAAAGAAGTTGGGGGTCACCACAACACGAGGAACTATATTAAAATGTCACAATTTTAGGAGGGTTGAGAACCACTGCCTGTATGGTCTTTGTTCCACTCTGGAACCTCATTAGCAAGGCTTCCATTATCTGAGTTCTCCTGTAATGTGGGATTTCCCTCTGTATTCTATGATTACCATTGATTAATAAAGAAACTTCTTTGGGCCTATAGCAGAGCTATAGGGGAACAGAGCTAGGTGGGGAAAACTAAACTGAATGCTGGGAGAAAGGAGGCAGAGACAGGAGAGACGCCATGTAGCCACCACAAGGGAGACGAGTCAGAACCTTGCTGGTAATCACAGCCATATGGCAATACACAGATTAATAGACACTGGTTAAATTAAGATGTAAGAGCTAGCCAATAAGAAGCAAGAGGTAATAGGCCAAGTCATGATTTAATAAATACAGTTTCTGTGTAGTTATTTCAAGTCTGGGCAGCCGGGAGCAAACAATCAGACTCCTACAATACTCCTGGTTCTCTGGTTTTCCAAACTCCCTCCAGAATGTCCCATGAAGCCTTTCTTACAATGTTCTAGGGATGCTCTAGCCTGTAGCTTCAGATCCTCCTCATTTCCCCCACAAATCAGGGGCCTATGAACCACACAGTAAGGTTTGCCGTGGCAACGGCCTGACTCTTTTGTAACACGAGGGCCAACTTGTTGGGGTTTCTATCCCGCCCGGTACCCCTCAGCCGGCAAGTTCCAAAGAAAATCAATCACACAGAGATCTCTATAAGTTATAAAGCTGATTGGCCCATTAGGTCAGGCTACTTATTAGTTCTTATGACTTATCTTAACCCATTATTCTGATCTATGTTAGCCATATGGTTTGGTACCTTTTTCAGCTGTCAGTTTACATGTTGCCTCTTCAGTGGTCTGCGCAGGAATGGCAGAGGAACCTCCCTGCTTCCCAGAATTCTCCTGTTCTCATTGCATCACCTCTACTTCCTGTCTGGTTTTCCCACCTATACTGCCTGCCTGGTCAATCAGCGTTTTATTAAAATATGATTGACAGAATACAGACAATTCTCCCGCATCATTTCCCTCTTTTTTTTTTTTTAAACAAAGGAAAATACCCATAGTCCATTTGTTGGGAATGTGGGTGTAGTATTTCAGGCTACTTCCTGCTGGTTGGGGGCGCTGATAATCTTATGGGGACCTAAAGAAAATTTAGAATTATCATCAAGTCCTGACTGGAGTATCCTGTGAGTCTTGATCATCTCAGGCAGCAGTCTTGAACCTGTTCTGGATGAAGAACTCAGACATCTGGGCCATCTGTTCCTGTCGGAGATTTCTCAGGTGGCCTTCCTTGATCATACTGGATTTTTCTTAACTCAGAATGAATCCACAACCTCTCATTTTCTGTGGAAACAAAAGCAAAATCTCTTCTCCAAAGTAACAAACCTTTTGACTTCAGTTTTGAAGCCAAGGTATTTTCAAAATACCTATCTTGGGTTAGTTCAGCAGCATTTATAAACAACAGTCCTTTAGCAGCTGTTGCTCCTTCCTCAGCATTCAAACAATTCAAAGAGAGCATAATAGCATACAGTATCGAGATTCTCTGTTTATTTTCCATCTTTATTTTAACCTCTATTTCTTTTATTTTTACTTTTACTTTTTGAGACAGGTTCTCTGTATATCTTTGTCCTGGAATAACACTGTGGGCCAGGCTGTCCTTGAACTCACAGAGATCTACCTGTCTTTACCTCCCCAGTGCTGGGATTAAAGGCATGTGCTACCACACCTTGAACTCACAGAGATCTGTTTCTGCCTCCCAGGCATAGGGATTAAAGGCATGTACTACCACACCTTGAGGTCACAGAGGTCAATCTGCCTCTACCCCTTGAAGTCACAGAGGTCAATATGCCTCTGCCTCCCAGGCATTGGGATTAAAGGTGTGTACCACCACACCCTATTTTCCCCTTTCTTTCTTTTTTATTTTTAATGACTTTAACCTTTAGCCTGCATATATTTTTTAACACACTGTAAACCATTTAGAGGTTTTCTTCCTCTTTGAATCTCTCTTTACTGTATATCTCTCGTTTTCTGACCACATGAGCCTTTAATTTACTAAGCAATATGGAGATCAGTGGCTTTGACGGCTAGATCCAGCCCACTCCCCAGCTCTCCAGTCTCATGGCTGAGATACCAGCCAGAGCTGTGTTCACTGCCACAACTCTATGGCGTTTCAAGGTCCTTGCTAGCAAGCAAGCTGTAGTATTCTGCTCACAGACCACACTCAGTCGACTGCCTGCCTAAAAGAGTCAGAGTTTGCCCTGGCAGGACAGCCCAGAAAGCCGGCATTTTAAAACAGCGCAACTTTTTTCCTGCTACTGCTGAAAACCCGAAAAGTATGCGTTCAGCTTTTCATCAACACCGTTTAAGTGCTTCACAGCATGACCTCTTAAAAGAGCTGCAAGGTTTTGCAGCTAAAGCTGAGTCAGGAAGCCTCTCTTAGATGAGAGCATTTGCTTGCCTCTAGCAAGCAGAGCAGACCTGAGAAATTGCTGCTACCAAGAAAACATGCTTTACTCTATTCTTTCCCAAGTTTTCTCAAGCTTTCTGTGGATTCAGTTATCCACGTGGGTGCCATATGTAACATGAGGGCCAGCTTGTTGGGGTTTCTATCCCGCCCGGTACCCCTCAGCCGGCAAGTTCCAAAGAAAATCAATCACACAGAGATCTCTATAAGTTATAAAGCTGATTGGCCCATTAGGTCAGGCTACTTATTAGTTCTTATGACTTATCTTAACCCATTATTCTGATCTATGTTAGCCATATGGCTTGGTACCTTTTTCAGCTGGGCAAGTTACATGCTGCCTCTTCAGTGGTCTGTGCAGGAGTGGCTGAGGGCTTTCTGTGTCCCAGAATACTCCCAGTCTCTTTGCTCCACCCCTACTCCCTGTCTGGTTTTCCCGCCTATACTGCCTGCCTGGTCAATCAGCGTTTTATTAAAATATGATTGACAGAATACAGACAATTCTCCTGCATCACTCTTTGGTGCTAATTTTCTGTATTCGTTACTTCTCTCACAGCTGTGACTAAGTAGGCAACAGAAACAATTTAATCAAACCGTCTTTGCTGGGACACATAATGATGGACCATGAGGTGGCCATCACATCTTATCTGCAGTCAGAAAATGTGTGCTTTGGCCATTGTATTTAGCCACCATTGTAAAGATGTTACCTTAGGGTTGCTATGATGAAACACCATGACCAAAAGCAAGCTGGGGA